CCACTCACTACTCCGTCAATCTTCCCTTACAAAACTGACCGTCACCACTCACTACTCCGTCAGTTTACCCTAACAAAACTGACTGTTACCAACCCCTACTACAGTTTACCCTAACAAAACTGACCGTCACCACTCACTACTCCGTCAATCTTCCCTAACAAAACTGACCGTGACCACTCACTACTCCGTCAGTTTACCCTAACAAAACTGACTGTTACCAACCCCTACTACAGTTTACCCTAACAAAACTGACCGTCACCACTCACTACTCCGTCAATCTTCCCTAACAAAACTGACCGTCACCACTCACTACTCCGTCAGTTTACCCTAACAAAACTGACTGTTACCAACCCCTACTACAGTTTACCATAACGAAACTGACCGTCACCACTCACTACTCCGTCAATCTTCCCTAACAAAACTGACCGTCACCACTCACTACTCCGTCAGTTTACCCTAACAAAGCTGACCGTTACCACTCACTACTCCGTCAGTTTACCATAACGAAACTGACCGTCACCACTCACTACTCCGTCAATCTTCCCTAACAAAACTGACCGTGACCACTCACTACTCGTCAGTTTACCCTCAGTGTTACCAACCCCTAACAGTTTACCCTAACAAAACTGACCGTCACCACTCACTACTCCGTCAATCTTCCCTAACAAAACTGACCTCGTGTTACCACTCACTACTCCGTCAGTTGTACCACTAACTCCGTCAGTTTACCCTAACAAAACTGACCGTCACCACTCACTACTCCGTCAGTTTACCCTAACAAAACTGACTGTTCACTACTCCGTCTCTGACCGTCACCACTCACTACTCCGTCAGTTTGACCGTCACCACTCACTACTCCGTCAGTTTACCCTAACAAAACTGACCGTCACCACTCACTACTCCGTCAGTTTACCCTAACAAAACTGACCGTCACCACTCACTACTCCGTCAGTTTACCATAACAAAACTGACCGTCACCACTCACTACTCCGTCAGTTTACCATAACGAAACTGACCGTCACCACTCACTACTCCGTCAGTTTACCCTAACAAAACTGACCGTTACCACCCCCTACAACAGTTTACTTTAATAAAACTGACTGTTTCCACTCTCTGCTTCATCTTTGTACCCGAGCAAGACTGTCCAATTCTAACTAAGCTTTCTTCCCTTTCCTGACTAACACCAGACCTGTGGTTCTTTGTTTCTCTAACAATACCAGACTTTTGATTGGATTGTTAGTTCTCATTCTAGGCACGTAGTTTTATCATCCTTCTCTGTTTTATTAACAAAGCAAAATTAGAAAAAAACCCGGTGATAAATAGATATGCGGTTCCATGGTGGGTGGCACTCGGACGCTTGTATCCATACAAATGATGGAGTTGATATTTTGATTGGAGCAAGCATTGCGATTTCGCGTTTATTAAATCGGAGTTATTCATTAAAGTCAGAGGTACTTCAGATTTAAACTTTCTTTTGTTACGTTTTGTCATTGGTGTCCATCACATCTCCCACTTAATAAACTTGAACAGGGTACCTTCAGCGAAATAGCACTTTTATCGATGTGTCTGTAATTTCGATAATCTCATTTAAATGCAAAAATGTAATTTCTGTTGTTTCTTTGGTTTGCAGACAAACTATGATCCCTATAATCTAAGATTATTTATAAAGACAATCGACAATATTTGAACGACTTAAAAACATTGTGTTGCAGTTTGCATTTCACTATAAAAAGGCTAATCTATTTAATATATAAACCAATTTCTATCCATAACAAAGTTTGGTTTCCTTCCGTTTGCAATCAAAGACAGCATGCCGACGAACCCCTTGTGTGAAATGTTGACATGTCTGTACTCCAGGTCAAACTAACTATATTGTTTTACCCAATCGAATTTGAAATTAAATTGAATCCAATTTATTCTCTCGAATTAATCTGGTCATTTTTTTGTGTTTCGGTAACAACATGTGGGTGACGGGATAGTATGGCGCCGCTCGGAACAAAGATCGATGGAAGATAGTCTCCTGTACGCTCGCCCACGGAGACATCCGAAAGTTTCACTAGCGGCACTCTCCTGGCCAATGTTTTGGTCTACCGGGCCTGTAACGCCCGTGATTTTGTGATACCGCAGTAGGTCATTGTAAACTGAGTGTATGTATAACTTCAAATCAAACAAACTTACATTAAAAGGTTGAATTTTAATGATAATTATAATCTGTATGATTAGCAAAACATTACCATACGCTTCTACTGCTCATCTCTTACTTATAGTGGTGACATAAACGTGAAGGGATCTGTCAAGTGATTTTAAGTGATGACGAAAAAGAAACGAAAGTTGTCATTGCAACCTTTAAATTGTGATAATAACGGTGACTTTCTGACTATCTGCCTCGATACATTGTACATTAAACTTTAACGTTGCTGTTGTAGAGGACGAAATTACCGTGACTTTCCACATGGTCTAAGCCTGCTGTATGTATTTTCTTGAACTGAAAACGTACGTTTTCGTAGAATTATCAGGCCAAAGAATCGTTTTTACTTGAATGATGTCACAGTAGAATATCAAAGCAATGGGCAAAATGATAAACCACCCCACCTTTGGCAAAGCCTCTGTCTTATTTATTCGGAGTTTCATCTGAGGGATGAGATTTCTCGCCTGATTCGCATTTTGACCATATTTATTTCGTTTAAGCTTGGTTTTTTTTAGTTTGTAAATGAAGGTTAAGATTTGTATATCATGCTTTCTAATTAGTTCAGATAAGCACGGGCACAGTAATCAGTCACTAGATATCTAGCTAAATGAAACAGACAATTGGTAATTTCAGAAGCGTATAAATCATAGTTCGTAGCTGCAGAGAACTTTCAGTATGAATGTGAACACTGGCGCGTATGGGGTGGGGTGGGGGAGGGGGTGGGAGGGGATGTGATCAGCAGAGGTTAAGTACGGAGTAATAAATATCCCTTTGTACGGTACTCACACTGACAGATTAGTATCTGATGAGATCTGTCATACTTACGAATATAATACGTCATGCGAACCCCTGAACGGACATTATTTCGAGTTATGTCAATTAACTTCAATAATTATGGCGTGTCCGTGAAATTATGGGTAATAAAACAAATTAGTATTTCTTTATATACATCCAGAAAAAAAGTCCATTTCAATGTTTATTTTATGACCAAGAACTATGAAAGTCACATTATATCTAATTATGAATTATCCCTCCTAACCTCACGTTTATAATATATTCTTAAATATGTAACTCAGCTCAGGCAAAACAACAAATGTATGTTTGAACTTGCAATTTTTTCTATTCTCTCAAAACCATCCAGTAAATAAACATAGTTTAGTTGAGTTTGCTCTCTGGTGCTGATCCGATCAATACCTGTTTAACATTTTAGGATGTTGTCATGTACAAAAAGACAGTGATTCTGATGAAATTTTTTTTACAGCACTTCAATGTGGACAAATATCTAAAGTCAATCCATGTACTTTTACAAATATCAACTATGGAAAATCCAGCAACAGCATACAAAATGTCAGATATTCCCTTCCGTACCAAAACAGCAATTGTCTAAAAGTCAAGCATGCCTTTATTTGCTGAGCATTGGCTCCACAGCTGATGTCATGACGTGAAATGTATAGACTTTGACAATGCATGGCTCTAAGGCAGTATTTGTCAACACAGGTTGACTTCACCACAGGAATATGAACAGTCTCATGGGTGGGTTTGGACTATCCTGACGTGTTGGTTTAGGACAACATTCGGTATAAATGACACTTTCCAATATTGTATTATATGTTATATATACCATGATGTTGACCCAGTTCTCTAAAATGTTTAAACACGTCAGGATGGTTCCATATACACACGCAATCAGTTCTCATGTCCCAATGGACAACACTATGGTACTAGAGCTTATGATTCTTGTCATGGTGTCCACAATTAAAGTCAGCTACTGCTGATCACATTCACATAAAAAATGAGTCCTTTGGAGGAATGTCACACATCATTACACAATAAAGAGTCTTTCAATAATATTGATGAAAACCCTATCCTTTACTTGTAACAAAAAAAAACTCATCCTATATTGCTTAATCATTTCTTTTAAAAGTGGCTGATTTTAAGTTTTAATATTGCACTCATTCTTTTTGGAGTTGACAAACATTGTTTAAAAAATGTTTCCTTTTATCCAATTCTGATGTTGCATCGCAAATATTTACTAATGGTTACCATATTTCATTTCTTTCCATAATATCATCATCATCTCTTTTTTGACTTATTAACAGTCTAAGTTCTCCAATACCGATTCCATATTCCTTCACGATTCATTGACACTTTCAATGTTTATTCCTTCCATAAGAACGTTCTTTTTAACAATGATACGTTCTTTGTAACAATGATTCGTTCTTTGTAACAATGATTCCTTCTTTGTAACAATGATTCATTCTTTGTAACAATGATTCCTTCTTTGTAACAATGATTCATTCTTTGTAACAATGATTCGATCTTTGTAACAACGATTCGACAGGGACAAGATAATACATTGTATTCCAGCATTGATATACTTTGTATTTACGTACATTAAAATTATTAGGTAATTTGGTACAGAAATGTTAATGGTAATGATTTCTTCATTAATTATTCTCCATAAATGTCAGAACACAGATTTTTACACACATTTCAGAGTATATACATGTAACCCATCACTTGCTCTTGTTTATTTCAGGGTCTAAATCATTCATACCAGTGTGTTTTGTGATAATACCTTGAGGAGTTTGGAGGTCTCTAATTATTCATACCGACATTTGGTGTGTTTTAGTATCAATAATCATTGGTGTCTATGTCATGTTTCCACACCACAGACTGAGTAGAACATAAACTACCTTTCTCACACTACACACTATCCGGGTTTGGCGTCAGTTTCTTCATCAAGACCATAAACCAGAGAATCTCCAGTAGATTATATAAGGATGAAAAAACTATGTTGTGTATGTTACGAGTTTTATTGCACTAAAACAATAATTCTACAGTACAGTGTAACAATTCAATATGTTATATATATGACAATAGTGATACTTTGATAAACTGCCAGATTATTTTTACGTTAATGCTGGGTTTTTGCCTATTCAGTGACGATAGTATCAAGGAAGTAATAAAATACTGGCAGATAGGACAGTTCCATAACAGGTTTGAAAGGTAGCAGTTAAAAAAATCATTATAACATGTTTCATTGTATGAAGGATGCAGATTTATATCTACTAACACTAAAATACAGTGGCTTCTTTACCTGGTATATCACAGGCTCTCTCTGATTACGAGTTTAACATATTCCTTCATAATCCTTATGAACTGCATCCTCTCAAATGTAATTCCTGATTCTAATTTCCTTTTCCAGCACATCACTATTCTATTCCAGATTCAATATGTTTTATATCCATCTGGTAAATCTTTATTTCAAGACGCCACAGACGTGTATGGAAAGAAACTTGGAAACCAGTACTGCCTCTCTGGTGTCGCCTGGTCATCTAGCCACGCCAAACCTTCCTTTACCATAAAGTCCTGGCAAACAAGGTAAAGTAAAGAATTAAACAATCGCACATAAGTCCTTGAAAAAAATGAAAATTTTTTTTTAAGAATAAGAAATTTGAGTGGGGGGAGGGAAATGTACTTCAAAATGTTTCCGATTCTCCTAGAAATAAAAGGTTTAATTCTTGTTTGTTGATTACTGCTCTAAATACGACATATGGTATGTGCAACAGGTTCATACTAACCAGAGCTCGCACAGCTCTCTCCTCTTCCCATTTCAGTCTTGACAGCAAGTCTGCTTTTGTAACAAAACCCGAATCCTGTAATACCAAGAAATGTATATTACCTCAATTATTTACATAAAAAATCATTCATCTTCAGTTATGCTCAAAACTTTCTGAAACTTTCCCAACAGGCCAGATCAGTTCATTAATCTTCAAGACTATCAAAGCAATTCATTCACATTCACAGCTACTAGAACAATTTATTGACCTTCATAACTAGCAATTAATAAAACAATTCCTTAGCTTCCAAAACTTCTAAATACGACATCCTGACCTTAAACCTTTATGACCAGATTAAAGAAAGAATGGTAAAGAAACACAGTTCAGATTTCATGACCAGATTAAATCATTCTTTTATGTTCAAAAATGGTCAAAGCAATTCATTGTCCTTCATGACTAGTAAAAAAATCTTTTAAACTTATTCATAATGAGGATAAAACCTTTAACTTTCAATTTTATGATAAGATTTTAAAAAAATTATCATTGTTTATAAATAGTCTAGACAATACATCATTAAACTCCATTAATTCAAACTCAAAGGAAAAGAAACTTATTGGATTATTCACAAATGTATTTAATTATTCACAAATTTACTTGAATTTGATGTATTCTCTATATTTAGGTTATTTGGTCCATTACAAAGCCTGTGTATTCTCTTTATTTTAAAACTCTTTGTTCTTCGTTAAAGGGATGGTAGATTAAGATTGTATGAGTTTGAATAGATATATTGATTGATGATTGTTACATACTAAGTGACCTGATACCTGGGACGGGTGCAGCCAACATGACTTTCCAGACCAACACAATGTGTTTATAAATGGCTTCAGGAGTGAAATCTAGGTGCACTTCAATGCTGAGTACTCACTTTACGAGGTCAATTAGTAAAGATTGTTGATAAACAAGTTGAATAAGGACAATGGGATTATCACTTAAGTTCTATGTGATTGAAATCTCTGTTTGCCAGAGGCAAAGAAAAATGACTACAGTTACCATCTTCCCTACTAATATATATTGATTTACAAATTCATTCAGGTTTGTTATAGACATTAAAAACAGGAAATCATGCCTTCATTGATAATCTTATCCATTCATAACTCTGAATTAACAATGAAAGGCTATTTATTCATTTAAAAAGATCAGCAATAAAACTGAATTAAGTTTATTTCATCATATTTGAAAAACACAGATAATAATTATTTCCCAGTTATATTTAGGCCTTTAACACTACTGATAAATCTTTAAAGGACAAAATAGCTGCATGATATAGCTCAATGCATTAAAGGATTCTACTGTATTAAAGTAAATTGTATTAAGAAGTGCTATTCAATTGTTTTTGTACAATGCTAAATACTGAATGATACATATACAATACAGAAGTGAGAGATGTTCCGCATGGTGTTAAAAAATGTGTTAACAATATATATTCCGTTCCACATTCTGTAAAAAAACATATGTAAACAATACATTTTGTAATTTGATGATATCCAGGAATTTAAGTATCTAATGATGAGTTCCCAAATTGTTTCCCTCGTGAATGTAAAGTAACAGTATATCAGCTCTCATCCTTCACCGACATTCCCAATTATCACAATTTTTGTGCAAGAAGTCACCAACTGACAAATTAACTCATAACATATTTGCAGGTTGACATAATTATTGGGCAAGTTTTACTGTTGTCATAGTAATCTCATTAATAAATATTCTTTTTCTTTAAGCGATCAAAGTTGGACTTTTTCAATGCTTATTCAGTTTTACTTTGTTATTTGAGAAAGTTACATTACTTACTAGGATTGATAGAAGATTTACATGGCAGGTGTTGCCAATGAAGCCGAGGACACTTACTATTCTGGAACACCTGGTCTTATTCTCCTTGTAATTTTTAAGAACTCCCCATGTAGATCTTTCTTTTGTTCATATTTTGTTCTAGTTTTAGTGCCTTTGAGTTTGGATGATGATCATGTTAACATGTTGGTATTTTTTTTGTTTTTATCACTCAATTTTAGATATTTGCCTCAAAAACAATTTTAAGGTCAGTTATCCTATTTCATTGTTTGAAGTTTTCAAATGATTCTCTCTGTAGCTTTGAAGACCACTGTGATGGAGCAACTGTGTAGGAAGTATATATACTCACCTGTGCTTGCTGTAGAAGCATCGTGTGGTCCATGCTGAGCTCCCCAGGTACACTCTGGACTAGAAAGGTACGTCCTACAGGTATTACAGTAAACCCGTTACCTAATACCTTCAACTTTTTAATTGCTCGTAAAAGATCATCTCTGCAAAGAAAAAAAAGTTGTTCAGATACATGCAGTATCCCAACATATGACAAAGGAAAAAAGTTAGTATTGATTAATGACTTACATTGTACAGTGAATCAACACTGAAAACAAGAAGTGTGCAGTTGTACAAATTGTATCCTGTCCTTAAAAAGGTTTTATATGGCCACCGTTTTAATGTTGTCACCATAATCTCGTTGAGAAGTATTCTTTTTCTTTGGCTGATATAAAGCTGGACATGTTTGACTTTATTGTAGACCATGTTCTCATTCGCAAAAGTGACATTACTTACTTGGATTGACAAAGATTTACATGGTGGGTATCGTCAATGAAGAAGACGTTTACTTATCTCAAATAAATGGCCTTACATTCCATGTACTTTTCAGGTGTCTTTATGTAAATCTTTCTTATTATATTTTGCCCTAATTTTATTGAATTTGGGTTTGGATTATAAATGATTATGTTCACTTGTTGGTATTTTCTTGTTTTTTGAAATAAAAAAATTGAATACCATTAAACCTAAAACCAATCATTTTTGTTTTAAAATCATTAAACAAAAAACGTATAAACAATTATTCAATATTTCAAAATCAAAACTTTTTGAAAAAATTTTGGTTTCAATTCTTCCTAAAGCTAACAAATGACCTGGATCTGTAGATATACCAGGTGATCTTCACAGCTCAATATTAAAACAACACAGAATAACAAAGGGTTTACTACATTTGTAGGTACTTAACATGCAACACATCAAATTCAACATCAAAAATCTTTCCTGTTACCAGGTAATGTGACCTTCACAAGGACAAAGCTTCTTAGGACCATTTTCTACTTAGATCCAATCCTCCTTGATGAAACAGTCATTCACTGTTAGTCAGGATTGACAACTCATTGAGGACAATTATGATGTTAATCACCTGCAATTTATGTCTTAAATGTGTCTGTCAATATCTGTAAACCCTCAACATGAAGGTGAGGTACAGAGTGGTAAACACAACAATAGGAAACATTTATGTCAATGGTACAAGTCTCAGTAGATTTTCGTCAGTAAAAGCTCCATCAGCTTGTAAGTGTCACTTCATACAAACATACTAATGCATATCCCTGAAGTCCTTAAGACACAGGAGTATCTCAATCTGTATCTCAATAATGTACACTTTTATCTGTCCACATAGACTAGATGCAGTTCTGGGACTCTCAGGATTTCCATGAATTTTAAACATTATGAGTTAAGGTTTTCATTTATGGGACTTATTAAGTTTTGGGGACAGTAGAAAATTATTCTGTTTTCATTTTGTGCGAATATCTGTCTATCTGTCCTTCAAATATACATTTGTCTTTCTGTGTCTGTCTATCTGTCTCTGCTTTTGCGCGGGTTATCCATTCATACTTACATGCTAATATCCTGACTTTTCTTGCTCCTGGATTTCACTAACCTGTCCCGAAGTTCTTCTATACCAATTAGACCTTGAAATGGCAATAATGGTGAAGTGAAAATCGTTATGTTCTAAAAGTTAAAGAGTAACAGCAAAACATTGTGAAATACCACTGCAATATTCCTATTCCAGAAAATTACACTGAAATGAAAATCTCATTTATATTATTGTTGGTCCTGATGAAGCCTCCACGACAGAAGCAAAACTAGTCGACGAATTAGTAAACCCCCAACTAATCAGCATTGTGTGAGTATGTTTTGATTCGTACCCTCTTCATTCATATTATTATTGCTGTATGCAGGTTATGTCAGTATCTGCCTGGGGTTAATTTTGTTTCCTAAAGACTAAAGTTTTCCTATACATCACAATATATATACCACACTTCAATTGTGTCTTTTGTATTGACGAGGCAACAATACAGAACATGATATGTACAATTCTGTTATTTGGTTCTTGTGTTTTAAACAATACATCAATCTGTTTTGTATTGGGTGATCACATTCAACGTAACAAGATAACACAAAATGTGACCTTATCCCCTACCCTGCACCCCTATCTAAAGGATATTCATAAATTTGAGGATTACTTTAATTATAAAGTTCGGAAACTTTGCCAATGATTCTTGTTATTTTTCTACAAGCAACAGAAAAGTAATAACAAAATAGAAAATTCCTCCAGTAACAAAATGCAAGAAAGCAACAGCTTGTATAAAGTGTCCAGTACATGTAATTCTTGAACAGTTTCAGTGTTATGCTCTGGAAACCATGAAATTTTCAATTAAGGCTTATTGAAATTTTTGTTCATGGTAACTCCTCCATAGCAAAAGACATGACCAAAATACAAGCCTGATATAGCTGTTCAAAGTTCTGAGTAGTTATCGTGAAGGTTTCAGAGATCTGGAAAATGTCCATGCATGGACAGACGACCACACAGATGCACAGAGACCAATTAAATTTTCTGTCTGAACATGTTTTACTGAAGATAAAAAGAAGAAAAAATTACGTGATATTGTCAATAAACAAAGTAATATGTGGCAGTGTTTTGACAGACTATAAATCTTATAGGTCTATTGTCTGATATTACAGGATATAACATCTAATTACAAACCAATGTATATCCCTTACTGTGATACAACTATAAAAATGGAAGTGTCCTTGAAACCTTGCTGCAGCAGTCTATGATATACCAACTCACTAACACAACACTTTGTATTACTGTGTACAATACAGGTTAATATATCCCCTCACTAACACAACACTTTGTCATACTGTGTACAATACAGGTTAATATATCCCCTCACTAACACAACACTTTGTCATACTGTGTACAATACAGCTTTATATATCCCCTCACTAACACAACACTTTGTCATACTGTGTACAATACAGGTTAATATATCCCCTCACTAACACAACACTTTGTCATACTGTGTACAATACAGCTTTATATATCCCCTCACTAACACAACACTTTGTATTACTGTGTACAATACAGGTTAATATATCCCCTCACTAACACAACACTTTGTCCTACTGTGTACAATACAGCTTTATATATCCCCTCACTAACACAACACTTTGTCATACTGTGTACCATACAGGCTAACATATCCCCTCACTAACACAACACTTTGTCATACTGTGTACAATACAGCTTTATATATCCCCTCACTAACACAACACTTTGTATTACTGTGTACAATACAGCTTTATATATCCCCTCACTAACACAACACTTTGTCATACTGTGTACAATACAGCTTTATATATCCCCTCACTAACACAACACTTTGTCCTACTGTGTACAGGTTAATATAATAACACAACACAGCTACAGCTTTATATATCCCCTCACTAACACAACACTTTGTCATACTGTGTACAATACAGCTTTATATATCCCCTCACTAACACAACACTTTGTCATACTCTGTACAATACAGGTTAATATATCCCCTCACTAACACAACACTTTGTCATACTGTGTACAATACAGCTTTATATATCCCCTCACTAACACAACACTTTGTCATACTGTGTACAATACAGCTTTATATATCCCCTCACTAACACAACACTGTCATACTCTGTACAATACAGTTAAATATATCCCCTCACTAACACAACACTTTGTCATACTGTGTACAATACAGGTTAATATATCCCCTCACTAACACAACACTTTGTCATACTCTGTACAATAAAGGTTATCCTGTAAGGAGACCCAAGATAGATGACTTTGATACATGTTCAAGGTCAAATACCTTAAATCCTTATATCCAAGATGATCATCAACTCTAGTCACAAATTTATAATTACTTGGATGAAATGTTATTAATATTGTAATGAAGTGGTGATCACCTTTACTGCCTTTTAAGGGCACAGAGTTCAAATATGTAAAAGCCTTATTATTTACGACACCCTTTAGAAATTGGAATGTTTGATCTGTTTGCTGCTGCAATGAAAGGATATGACATTAGGGATTAGAATTTACTATTAAGGTCATTTCATCAAGAATCATTTAAATTCTGCCATTATGATGGATGATAAAAGAGACCCAGAGAGGTCTTGGTACAGCCTTTGTTTGATCTATACATGAGAAAATTCCTCACAAGAAACAGCAATGAAATGCTTGAACTGCAAATTCCAAGATGTTTGATAGGCAGCCATTTTATTTTCCTTTTCAATCCAAAATCAGAAGGGTACAACTAGGGATCCAGAAGTACCTCATAACAGAGGAAATATGAGAAAACATTTATACAAAATTTCTCAAATTCAAAGCCTTGATGACCACCTGAGATAAGCAATATTGAAACAAAGCTTAAAGGGTAAGTAGCTTTCAAGCGTCATTGAAAAGAAATTATGACATTAATGAAAGTAAGCCAGTGGCAATACCTGCATACCATCAAATCTGTCATTCTATACCAAAAGTTCTTACAAAGTTATTTCCAATGGGAAATAAACAATGTTATGCTCAAAATGCAATTTTTCTATATAAACTAGAGTAAACTTTGCTCCTTCCCAACAGGGAAATGTGAGACCATGCAGCCATGAAATTAACAATTTTGGTAAAGCACCTGAAGACGCTTCCATCCATGAAGACCATTTAATAATACCATATCTGGATGTTGAAAAGAAGATTTTTGAAATCTGAGTCAATTTGACTCCTTTTGGGCATACTATCAAGCCCATATCCTTTGCTCATATTTCTAACCAAGTTTGAAATATTTCCAATGGAAAATGAACAAATTATACTCAAAAGTCTTTTTTCTCCTTTTTTATAAAACCCATAGATGAAATACACGATTGTGGGTTGGCAAATTGTGTCTTGTCCCAGTCAACATAAAAGGCACAAAAAGGAACATCAAAATTGAAGAAGGATTCAACAAGTACATGTACTTCTCAAGAAATAATATTTAACTTTTTTTAATGTCAAAATCCAAGATGGCCACTGGTTAGCCATTTATATTTCTAATTAGTTCCAAATTTAAAAAGTTACATATGAAATTTCTTAAAGATCCATCATATACTTCTTATGAAATAGGGATAATAAGAATTGTTTTAAGATGATTGATGCACAGGTGGATGACAGACCTGATCATGGACTGGGCATTGTGTACCATCTGAAAATGAGGACTATGAATTTAACAAAGAGCCATGATGCATAGAGTTAAATGTATGCTCTTCCGCCTTAATCCTAATCAGTTTGACCATGACCCATTTACACTGTCAGTAAGGTGAGAAAAATATTACAGGCAAGATGTGATACTGGCCAATCAATTTCTTGTTCAATAATGATTTTGTAACAAAGCTATTATTTTGTAATTTAGTTACATTTTCATAACCTTCTCAAGGTAAATAACTGATGAAATTGGAGACAATTTCTTTGCTTTCAATACAAGCCATCTTTGGCAAGACTCGTAGGCAGCCATGACATCAACATATTATCCCCTAAGGTTATGTTAGAAACCAATTAAAATTCAATAATTTAGGAAATTAAAAAAGCAATAATGTTCTGAGAAGTTGCATAAAATCACAAAAATAAAAACAAAAATAGATAGATAAATTCTAACAATTATATACATTTACAAATGATGATGAAAGCATGACTATGCTGAAAGGATGTATGCATCCTTCATATTGTCTTAGAATTATAATTGGGAATTATTACAAAACTAATTGTTCTTTTGTTTCTATGTCAGGACAGGAACACCAAATGAATAAAACATTATTTCCCCACAGTAATATCATTTGTCCCTGATCTCAAACATGTTACATTAATTCTTTCTACTTAAGTTAACTTCACTCCCAAAATAGACATCAAGCATGGCATTAAAGCTACACATCTGAAAAGACAAGTAATAAAATTCTAACTTGTTTTATTCTAAAATTACATGATTTGGTTAATTACATTGGATAGGAACACAGAAGTCCCTCAAGTCTGATATGATGTTGATAATTGTTTTTCCTGTTTGTAACCATGGTAATGGATTGTGGAAATGATGGTTTAAAGTCCTTCAACGTAGTCAAATGACAAATTATAAACTCACATTAAAATATTGCAGTGGTTAATGTTTCAGGTTTGGTCATATACAAATCTCTTAAATGTCAAACTCTGACATTTTTTCACCGGTAAATAAAATGTGGGAAAGAATAAAAGTAAAATACAAATAGCATATATAAGCAAACCCTTAAAAATTACCAAAAAAATATACATGTTTTCTTTTTTTTAAGTGTAAATGCACAAGTAATATATCTATACACAGTTTACATACCCACATAAACCTACAAATGTTTTGATGTGAATACATCTTTAATCAATCTCTTATCTAGCATGACTGGTCAGTTAGATTTCTAATTATATTAGAATATATGCTGGTGTATATGTAATGTGTGTCGATTCTGGAGTATTAACATCTTAACCATCTTCTCTCATACGTAAAATTTGCAAAAGTTATATATGGAAATTTCCCTAAAAATTGCACAGCACAAAAATATCCTAACATGCATATTCTAAAGCTACTTCCAATAG